GTCATGGCCCATTATTCTCTGTATGTTCATAAGTCTATTAGTACAAGTGGACCAAAGTAAGAGATTAGAATATGAAGGAGAGAAAGAGATAGAAAATTGAGGACTAGCGTATCTCGTAGGTGGTTCGCGGTATTTAGGAATAAATTGACCTACGTCGCCGTCGGCGGTTGTTTATTTTCGAAATTAAATTGAATTGGCCCATAACTTGGCGGTCTATTAGCCCTGGGGAGCAGGCTAGTTTGCTCGTAAATCTCCGGAGTATCGGACTGGGGTGGCGGCACCACGGGGATTTCGCGGGATGAAGAAGGGGGAAGAGGGTGACGGGGAGGGGGATGCTTGCTCTCGAAGGGTGGGTACGAGGGTAGCGGCTTCGACTAGGGGTGTGGGGATTCGATTCGCTACCGACAATGCGTCCGGAAGCTCCCAGGAAATACATGGGCGTGGTGCCGAGATAAATGTACTCTTGCATTTGCATACTTACGTATCGCGAATGAGAGAGATTGTGTACGTGTGTCTGAGAGTAAAAGAGAGAGAGAGAGAAAGAGAGAGAGAGAAAGAGAGAGAGAGAGAGAGAGAGAGAGACATAATACTCTTTTTGAAGTACATATTCGACAGTATTGTTCGTGATATATCGTTCAGTTAACTGATATGTTTCGTTAACATTTATTTTTCATTTGTATGTAAAAACTTTCATGTCAAAACAAAAATATTCTTCGATTTGTATACTTCGATTCCATACATCGATAGATATAATCGAACTGACAATTGGATAGTAAAATATCTTGGTTTACATCATTTTATATATAACGTGATTAGAAAATAAAAGTCATTTTCATTATAAATTCCTCAAACAGCGTGGAATAATTGCTTGATCCAACGAGTGGAAGATATTGTCATATGAAATATCATTTTTCATTTGACATATTTTCAATGACACATTATGTATGCGTCAGATTGATTCAATATCACAATTTTTTTTTTTTTTTATTACTCTAGCTAGTAATCAAAGGTCGTTTTGTTCCCTTTTTAAACTAGCGTGAATATTTTCCTTCGTGTTATCGATCAACCATATTGAAAGATAAAATGATAACGTTATCGGTAATCCAAGGTTTTCCTTCGGTTCTTTACATGCGCGCTCGCGTGCCGAAGCATCGCTCTCTCTCTCTCTCTCTCTCTCTCCTTCTCTCTTTCTTTCTCTTTCTTTCTCCCTCTCTCTTTCTTTCTCTTTCTTTCTCCCTCTCTCTTTCTTTCTCTTTCTTTCTCTCTCTTTCTCTTTCTTTCCCATTCTTTCTCTTTCTTTCTCTCTCTCTCTTTCTTTTCCTTTCTTTCTCTTTCTTTCTCTCTCTCTCTTTCTTTCCCTTTCTTTCCCTTTCTTTCCCTTTCTTTCCCTTTCTTTCTCTTTCTTTCTCTTTCTCTCTTTCTCTCTCTCTTTCTCTCTTTCTCTCTCTTTCTTTCTTCATTTCTTTTTTCTTTTGTTTTTATTTTCTTATTTCCTTAAGAACGATAAATTACGACTAGGACGGAATTAATTTCGGATTAGGAACAAAGTTATTTGTCACGAGTCGCGTCGAAAAATATTTCGATCTGCCAGCTAAGCAAGACCCTTTCTACTCTTACCGTATATTTCCCTTTCCCTTTTTATTGGATACCTTTTTATTTCGAATCATCGATCATTCGCACATTGAAAGGAACGTAAAGTGTGAAATATACAGATGAGGAAAATGTATCGTTTTATTTCCTACTATTTTATTTTATCATTTTTTTCTATTGAATATATATATATATATATATATATATATATATATATATATATATATTGTGGATACAATGAATACTTTAGAATCATTGATCTCAACTTGTACAAAGCAAAAATATTTTCTCCTGTGGAGATATAAGATATTATAAACGTAAAAAATATACATACATTAGTGTGTACAAATACACACACCCACTTATGTAAGTATATCTATATACATAATTGTATATATAATATACAATAAATTACACACATAAATCACACACTTCGGTAATAATACATTTGTTAAAGATATTTTACATACAGATCACAGAAGAAATAACACTAGAGAATTTCGATACAAAAGCTTATGGAGGAATACGTGAGAAAGAAAGAGAAAGAGAGAGAGAGAGAGAGAGGAGGACGGAGAAATTTATTTATCTGGCTATTCTTACTTATCAAGATTCTGCGTGGGTAGAACGGGACTTGTGGAAAGACGGTATAGAGGGGCACGGGGAAAAATAGTGGGAGAAGAGAGTAGTAAGGGGCGTGTAAGTTCTGCCTCTCTTTCTGCAACAGCGCACTCGCATCCTTGGCCGACCTTGTTTCCCTCGCAATCTTCTTAGACCGAAGGTTATTTGCTTTGTCGCATTAAAGGGCTCTTTCTCTCCTTCTTTCATTTCTTCTCCTCTAGCTCTTCTAAAATATTGCATCTTAAAACTTGGAGCACGCGACTCACGACTTCAACGCCCAACATTCTCCACTCTCTTTCTCTCTCTCTCTCTCTCTCTCTCTCTCTCTTTCTCTCTCTTTCTCTTTCATTCTTTTTCTCTCTCTCTCTCTTTCTCTTTCATTCTTTTTCTCTCTCTCTCTCTTTCTCTCTCTTATTCTCTTTTTCTCTTTTTTTCGTTGTCAAAATATTTTCTACTTCAAGAAACGGAATTACCTTTCGTCGGATTAAAACGCTAAAACATGAAGAAAAAAAATTGCGCGTATCTCTCTTAAAATAAATATGATCGACGTTATTACATATTTATGTATTTATGTATGTATATATGCATATATCTTCTATCTATTCTACTTATTTCTTAATGGGAAATTAAATTTTTGGAAATATTATTTTTTTTCTCTTTTTGCGTATTAGTACGTATTAAAATTGTTCTTTCTTTTCTTTTTCTTTCTTTTTTTTCTTTTTTTTTTTTTTTTTTTTTTTTTGAAATATGACTTTTCGAGAGACTTTTCGATCGATAGGATAATTATTTCGTAGTTCATTTTTCTACTTTTGTTTTTTCTTTCATCGAAACGAGTATTATTTATTTTTATTCTCCGTAATAGAATAAAAATAGACCGATAGTAAAGTGAAATATAATATGTAATAATTTCTAAATTGCAGATGTATTGGAAATTTGAAAAAAAAAAAAAGAAAAAAATAAAAACCCCAAAAAATACTCGGTCTCATGAACTAATATTCGATTTAATTGTTTCTACAGGTTTTCGTTTCAAATTTAACTCTCCTAAATGCTTGTAGTTCTTTATAACATTATTCTCCTTCTCTCTCTCTCTCTCTCTCTCTCTCTCTCTCTCTCTCTCTCTCTCTTTCTCTTTCTCTTTCTAGCAAAGCTATCCACATGTTACTTGTCAGCGATCGTTAAACTCTTTTCGACCTCTCAAAAAGTTCTCGAACTTGTCGGCAACGCGTAGAAAATGTTGGATTCGTCGAATTTAACGATCAAACTTGTACACTTCTTCTTTAGAAGCACGATAAGAACGATTGGTATGGCACGAGCGATTATCAAAAGGATTATATTTATTCTTTAAAAAAAAAAAGGAAAGAAGAAGGAATAAAAAAAAATGAAGAAAGAGAAGATCGTCCTACAATAAGAATTATTAGTAATAAAAAACAATTTTTCATTAAATTTGTTTAATATTTATTTATGAAAAAAAGAAACAAGGAAACAATATACAAGAAAGATCATAGCAAAAAAATATTATAAATTGATCAAATAATTATTCAATTGTTATATATTCACTTGTTTGTATATAAATAAATATATATACATATATACATATATATATATATATATATATATATATATATAGAATAAAAATGTTGAATAATTATATCAAATAATTATAAGATCAATTTTATATTAATATTAATAATCTCCATAAATCAGTCTCCCTCGAATCTATCTACGATGATATTCTAAGTATCTACAACGTGTATATCCAATTTCTCTCATTATGAACAATTCCTCGTTATTGTGATATCTATATCACGTCGATCGATGCAACCTCGTATAAATTGCATTCAATATATAAGTACGTACGTATATACGACCACGTACGTACGTACTTATATGCATATATGCATATATGTATATGTGTATGCATCTACCCACCATGTAGACTCGATTTTACGGAATATGATACCACGTTTGAAAGCAACACCAGAATGCACCTCCATGCATAATATATCTATTATATATTATGTTCGTACTAATACATAAGTAGGTGCGTAAATACATACATACATACATACAAACATACATACATACGTACATACATACATACATACATACATATATATATATATATATATATATATATATATACACGTTATATATACATATAGTTGTTATATATACACATATCTATTACATACGGATATATAATACTTTCGATTTTCTGCGATGTAATGAAATTTTCTCGTGAAAGTGCTTTTCCTCATTTTTCCCTACTTATTACAATTGTAGCTAAACTTCACGAAATGTTACTAACACTTTTACAATTAAAATTGTTACAATTCACTCACGTTAATATTCACACTTATTCTAACGTCTGATATTGATTAAAAACTATCTTGAATTCTTTCTTCTTTTCTCTCTCTCTCTCTCTCTCTCTCTCTCTCTCTCTCTCTCACTCACTCTCTCTTTCTCTCCCTCACGTATTTTATATTTTTTATCGTTTATCTTAACTCGTTCGCATATATGATCATGCATAAGAGGTAAGAAAATTGAACGAGGAGTTGCACAGTCTCTATCTTTCTTCTCCTCCTCTCTTTCTCTCTCTCTCTCTCTCTCTCTCTCTCTCTCTCTCTCTCGTTTCTTTCATAGCAAAAGGTAAAGGAAATTTTTGACGGGCGGTATGGAGAGGGGTTGACAGGGCCCCCCGTTTGAAATTCAGGCTACGACGTGATAAACGAATTTCCTGCGAGTCGCGCGCGCCAAGACGCACGCGGAAAAATATATGGAAATGACAAAGTTCTTTTTTTTTTTCCCGGTGCACGATAGTAACCACGGTAGTAAAGCATGGGTACGCCGTTATTTGAAAGGCAGATACCAACCTGAGTCTTCTGCTATCGCTACGTTCGAAAGAATAATAATTTTTGCGCGTCCTCGAACTTCTCCTTTTAACTTTGATCACGATGGTAAAAGGCTTTGTTCGGTGTATTCGATAGACGTGGCCGTCAACTTTTTAAACGAATTTTTTATCTTCTTTTTATTTTCCTTATTCTCTTTCTCTTTCTTTTTCTCTTTCTCTCTTCTCTCTCTCTCTCTCTCTCTCTCTCTCTCTCTCTCTCTTTACGACAGAAAAAATTGGTGAATATCGATGCCTTTTTATAATAAAAATTTGTAAAAGATTCTAATTTTATTTCCTTCTTCTTTTTATTTTTGTTTCTGTTTCTTTTGTCTTCATGAAACTTGTTTCGAAGATATTTTCTTCAATGATCAGTAATAAAAAGAAAAAAAGAAAAAAAAATTATAAAACAAGTGTGATCAGAAAAGTGAAAAATTCTTGATAGTAGTATTCTCGGGAAATAAGTATCGGGATATTGTCAATTATCGATATCAATGTTTTGTCTCATTTTTATCTCATTGGACGATCATTGATAATCCAATTATCAAGATAAAATTTTGTCAAAACATCCGAGTTCTTTCAAATCGATTAAAATTTCTGCTAAAGCTTTCGTAACTCTATCACCGCCGAATTCAAAGATTGTATTCGTTAAACTTTCTAAATTATTATCTATTATTATTGAAGAATTTTCGTCCATAAGCGTACATAAAAAGTACGAACATATGGTATAACCAAATAATGCGTGTTCGACGTAATCGTTCCATAAAGCTTCGAATGAAAATTTCTCTAAATCTTTCAGACCATTTTCCTTTAAACATCTCATTAATTCATCGTAATAGATCCTCAATACCATTGGTAAGTTATCGCATTTGACTTGACTCCAGCAAGAGAGACAGAGAAACGTCGATAGATCGATCGTAGGTGATCCATATCGTATTAAAGCGAAATCAATCAACATCACTCGCGTCCCTTTCTCGTCCCTTTTAAATAACATATTATTAATGGTAAGATCACCGTGACAAATTATCGCCAATGGCTCAATCGGTTCGATAGTTCGCAATATTATATTACGATAAGCGTCCTTCAAATATTCCTCAAGTTTGTCGCAGATATTACTGTTGTAATTGTTTTTTCGCAAATAATTTATTGGTCTGCAAGCAACGTGATTCAATAGATAAACGAAATGATCGTGCGGATTGTTACCGTTAGAATCGTATCGACATTCTTTAAAAGTTTTAATTAAATCGAAAAATTTCTCTGGATGTTTTTCCTTCATTACGTATCCTTTCACATGAAATCTTGCGATTTCTTTCATAACAGAAAAAATATCGTCCAACGGTATATCGATCTTTTTTGGATGTATCTTGTAACCTTTGACAGTTATATCTTCCAAAATCAAGGTCGCTCCGAAGAGATCATTCTCATTGGAGTAATAACATTTTGGAAAATTATCGCTCTTTAAGGCATAATTACGATAGAAAATTATCTCGTTGTAAAATTGTTCATTTGCTTTCATTGTCTGTTGTATTTCATCATTCATGATTGGCGTCTTCGCAACTAATCGCATGGTTATTATTCTCTCCTTATTCTTACCTTTGATATCGTTATTATCATTTATCCAAAATTTTATCCTCATATAAAATGTACTAGAGAAAAATATAGATTCGTTTGGCCGTTCCAACTCGTACTCGAATTTGTAATAATCATTGCGTAGAAGACTTGCCAATTTAGGTACTAGTGTCTTGAAATGTTCCTCGATTTGTTTTTCTACGTCTGACATTATTCCTGATTATGATAATGACGGAGTATAATTATACGAATACGTATATATTTAATATGTATATAAACTATCTTAATTGTTTACTTTTATGTTTATTTATTTAATTCGAAACGAACGAACGTCTTAGAAACAAGAAACAATCAGCACACTATTTTATACTTATACGTTTTCTTGATACGAACGAACTGTTACGATCTAATTAACTTTATCTTTTCGTTTATTCAATTAACACGGACAACCGACGAGTGACGATGATTCTACGTCGTTACCATTTACATACATCTGTTAACCATAAAAGGAAAAAAAAACAAATAGACAAAGAGAGAGAGAGAGAGAAAGAGAGAGAGAAAAAAGAGAGAGAGAGAGAGAGAGAGAGGAAATGTACTGGATGAACGTACAGTTCGCAAATCAATGATATACGTTTCTTTGTTAAACATTTTGCAATCTTGTGAAAATTATTATTGACATTGTTGATACGTTTACAACTCTTTCAGAATATCTATCATTTTTATTATTAAAAGCTTTTTATCTTAGAGAGAGAGAGAGAAAGAGAAAGAGAAAGAGAAAGAGAAAGAGAAAGAGAAAAGAGAGAGAGAGAGAGAGAGAGAGAGAGAAAGAGAGAGAGATTCCATGAAATCATACGTATTGAAACAATAGAATTGTACTGAACTTAAGATGACAGATTAAAAATATTTCTTTTTTTTTCTTTTTGTTTTATTTGCAATAACAAAAATCATAATTATTAGAAAAACGTTAATTGCGAAGCTATTTTTTTTTTTTTTTTTTTTTTTTTTATTTAAATATAATAAAGTATTTATCTGTATGTACTTTCAAACATATCATGTCAATTTACCGGATACATATTCAATATACATATAATGAATACGTAGCGAAAATAAATAGCCAGATATAGATTTTCAATATTAACTACATATTATCAATTATATTCTCATTTTAAAAGAATAATATACGACAAAATTTTTCCTTTGAATAATACCCATTGACAAAATTTTATCTTCATTGAATACATTCTGACGAGTCATTATGAAATATGATAAAAAAGAAAAAATGCATATACATAAATAAACTTAATCTTCATTCAAAAGAAAAAAGTAAGATGAAGGAAAAATCAAGATAAGAATATGTACAAAGTGTTGACGTATTAATCAGAGTTTAAATATTGAATATAAAAAATTAACATAGATTCAATATGCAGTAAGATAAAAGTGATATATTTAATAGACTTAATATAAGTTTAAAATATTTTACAAGAGAGAAGAATTATGACTCTTGATTATTTTCCTATCATTATATCGGATATTTAAAATAAAACGTTATCAAAAATAATATTTCAATACAAAAGTTACTTGTCCCTTTTTCTCTTCACATAGAATTTGCAATTATAAAAAATATAAGTTGTTATCTAAAAGAAAAGAACAAATATTTTCTCCCATGGAAATCAAAGGAATCTTGTATAAAAAAACAATATTTTTCAAAAATTTCTAACGCTTAATTTCGAAAAATCCAAATAAAATTCCAATAAGATAAACGACGATCAAATAAATCATTGAATCTTCTTGCATAAAATATTTTAAAAATATTAATATCTACTAATTTACAAAGATAAAGAAATTTTTAATCGTTGATAAGAACGTTCAGAAGTCGAGTAAATTTGTATAACTGATTGAATTAATGCACGATTATCATATTTTAGACATTCATTATATCGATTTGATAAAGAAAAATTTAAGCGCCATATCTTGCAAACACTTCAGAAAGATATCGTAACACGATCAATTAAGTAAACATTGGTGATAAACATTTCGTTTCAAAATTTTTGAAACCAAAGTAGAAAGAGAGGGAGAGAGAGAGAGAGAGAGAGAGAGAGAGAGAGAGAGAAGGATAAACATCATAGTACACGAAGATACAATTCATGTAGACACAACTTTTATTTTTATTTTCTTCTTTCCATTCCACGTCGTACGTACGTTTACTGTACTAAATTCATAGAGACATTTAATACGCCAAATAGTAAACAATCATAAACATTCGATCTTATAAGGACAGTAACTGTTTCGACGGCATGGCGATAATAACTTTCAACGTTAATGGCTCCTTATAAGCTTATCTTCAGTATATTCAAATACATTAGATTAATTATTAATTGATAATTATTAAAATTAATTTCAATAATTATCAAATGAAACGTGAAATGACGCATACTTTTACGTAAAAATAAGATAGAAAGAAAATAGAAACAATGTCCGAACAATGTGATTAAATAATGCCATTGAAATATTTTATCAGTTTATGTTCCTTTGTAAAATGAAATCAAACGAATTATTTTATCGTTCAAATTCGATACTTTAACTTACTTCTTATCGATCTAATATTTATAATAATTAAGCGGGAGGAAGTTAAGACGTTGTAGCACCCATTACCTTCCATTACATCGTAACATCACTTTCTCCCACTACTCACCTTCCATCACCCATGTTCCCCCGTTCCCTCACCTTGTCAGAACCAGTCATCCTCTTGATCTGTCTACGACCATTTCAACGTTTTCCTTTCTCTTTCTCATTCGTCTTGAGAATCTCTTGACGTGGTTCTAACATCTGAAATAGAAGAAATAAACGAAAGGTAGAGAGAGAGAGAGAGAGAGAGAGAGAGAGAGGAAACAAAAGGAAAGAACGAGAAAACCTACTTCTACGAAGACGGTTTTCAAGGAACAATACGTGGCGACAAACGCTGCGTGACTTACTTCGTCGAAGGAGAAAAGTAAGGGAAAGGAGAAGTGAGGAAAGAAAAAAAGTTAACGCGAGGATTAAGTAGGCGATGGGGAAGAGGAAAAAGAGGACGATAGAAAGGATGGGAGAAAAGGAAAGAGATAGAATAAGAAAAAGAAGAAGATGAAGGAGAAAATAAGGAGGAGGAGGAGGAGGAGGAGGAGAATGGGGAGGAGAAAGAGGAGAATGAGAAGGAGACAGAGAAGGAGGAGGATGGGGAGGAGAAAGAGGAGAATGAGAAGGAGACAGAGAAGGAGGAGGATGGGGAGGAGAAAGAGGAGAATGAGAAGGAGACAGAGAAGGAGGAGGAGGAGGAGGAGGACAGAGGTCTAGAAAGGCAAAGAGCGGGAAAAATCGCCTTCTTGGCTTCCACTACGGAAAAATTAACTGAATTGGCCGCGCACGAGTGGCCTCTCTTCCAACGTAGCCATTCGGATAAAGAATAAGATGAAGAGAGAGAGAGAGAGAGAGAGAGAGAGAGAGAGAGAGAGAGAGAGAGAGATGAGAGAAAGAGAGAAGGAGAGTAGAAGAGTCAGGATGATTTTCGAGAGACGAAAGCCATGCTTTTCAGAAAGAGCATTTCTAAATGGAGACCGTTGAGAACTTGCACGAACCATAAATTCGTGTCCTCCGGGTACCACCTTCTTCTTCTTCTTCTTCTTCTTCTTCTTCTTCTTCTTCTTCTTCTTCTTCTTCTTCTTCTTCTTCTTCTTCTTCTTCTTCTTCTTCTTCTTCTTCGTTTTCGTCTTCTTCGTCGTCCTCTTCTTCTTCGTCTTTTTCCTTGGTAATATATGTAAATAACACGGTCGTTCCTTCCGAACCGTCAAACCACGTCTACGCTATCCGTGCGAGTGGAAAACACGCGAAAGATCGTCCCCAGGAACAAATTCTGGAGCCAACTGTTATTTTTTTTCTCTTTTCTTTTTTTTTTTTTTTTTATTTTTTCTTTTTCCTTTTTTCTTTTTGATCGTTTTGTTTTATCTCTTACCAACGTGTTCAAATCTGCATTCAACCTTTCAATATTTTAATCTCCAAAAGAGAAGAATGAATTTTTGAGAGAAATTTGGTGGCGAAAAGGAGAAAAAAAAAAGAATAAAGGAACGGAAGAAAAGAGATGATGAAACGAAATAAGAAGTAAATAATAATGCATTGTAAATTTTTGAGAATATTTAAAAAAATACGAAAATTTAATTCCCACGTTTCTCGATATATGTAGATATAATATCGTATAAAGATTTCTCGCATGATACTCTAAGTATTCCCAAGGACCGTCAATATTTACTCGACCACGAAATGGAAAAAGAGAGAAATAGAGAAAGAGAGAAAGAGAGAGAGAGAGAGAGAGAGAGAGAGAAAGAAAAAGAGAGAGAAAGAGAGAGAGAGAGAGAGAAAGAAAAAGAGAGAGAAAGAGAGAGAAAGAGAGAGAGAGAGAGAGAGAGAGAGAGAGAGAGAAAGAAAAGAAAATAAAGAAAGAGACTGAAATAGAGACGATAAAAGATGGAAAGTACGTGATCGTCTGTTCTTTTTGTTCTTTTTTTTTTCTTTTTTTATTTTCTCCAGTAGACAAAGTCACATGCTCTGCATTGAAAATTGAGTTAGAAATATTGTATTTATTTTAAGAAAATTGGATCGTACGAAAATACTGGAAGAGATGAAATAACATTTCTTTCTGTTGCATCGTGAGGGCGTAACAACGAGAGCGTCTTATACTGGACCAGCGATGATAGTCGATTTGCATGGAGAATTTCCCACGTCTCAAATTAATAGGAGAACACTCGTTCTTGTAAAAGATCCTGTGAAATTCGCGAGGTAGATGCGCGATAAGAAATATTGCACAAATTGAAACTATAACAGTATATTTGTTGAAATAAGATACAATTGTCGATGTGTTTTGTGCAATGATGTGTAGTTAGTTATGTTGGCTATTTCTGAAGGATTGATAGCCAATAATGTTTAATAAGATTCGAGGGACTAGATGTCATGAGTCTGAAAGATGTAACTTGACTGACATTTGGCGTTTTTAGGACTATCCGCAAAGACTGTGGTGAAATTAGGAAAGGAAATAAAAAGGGCGAAGTTGAAGGATGGAAAGGGAAGTTATAGATGCTCATTAGTCGGGGATGGGTCAAGATAGTTCGTTAGAATGTTGAAACATTCCGTGTGTACCCCTTTGTTCTAGTGATCGTGTAGACTAAAAAGTGTCAATGGAAATTTCAAGGCTAGGTGCCAGACAACTCATTACTTGTCACGCCTAGGCGTCTATTTTCATTATTTATTTATTGCCTTGCTCGAGACATTATTGAAAACTAGGTATTTGACCAAAAATGCCTAAACTCGGACAAAAGTGGCAATGTGTTTTTTATCTATGCAATTTCTTAGCGAGTATCCAACAAGTTCCCAAGGGCAGATATTTCTAATAGTAATATATGACCCTTAGGAGAAAGCATTGTGAACAATTGAGGGACGTACGTGTGCGTTAACACTTTTTCGTTTTT